GAAGAGTCTCCAAATCTTTACACCCAAGAGAAAATAAGACTCTCCACAACCTTACAAGGTCAGCTTTTTGAAGAAAGTCTCAAATCTTTACACCTCAAGAAAATAAGACTCTCACAACCTTACAAGGTCAAAAGTCTCCAAATCTTTACACCTCAAGAGAGAAAAATAAGACTCCACAACCTTACAAGAAGGTCAGCTTTTGAAGAAAGTCTCCAAATCTTTACAAGAGAAAAATAAGACTCTCACAACCTTACAAGGTCAGCTTTTGAAGAAAGTCTCCAAATCTTTACACCTCAAAGAGAAAAATAAGACTCTCCACAACCTTTTACAAAGTCTCAAAACCTCAAGGTCAGCTTTTTTTTGAAAAGTCTCCAAATCTTTATACCTCAAGAAAAATAAGACTCTCACAACCTTACAAGGTCAGCTTTTGAAGAAAGTCTCCAAATCTTTACACCTCTAAGAGAAAATAAGACTCTCACAACCTTACAAAGGTCAGCTTTTGAAGAAAGTCTCCACCCATTTACACCTGAAAAATAATACTCTCACAACCTTACAAGGTCAGCTTTTGAAGAAAGTCTCCAAATCTTTACACCTCAAGAGAAAAATAATACTCTCACAACCTTACAAGGTCAGCTTTTGAAGAAAGTCTCCAAATCTTTACACCTCAAGAGAAAAATAAGACTCTCACAACCTTACAAGGTCAGCTTTTGAAGAAAGTCTCCAAATCTTTACACCTCAAGCTGGCATTAGGTCCAGAAGTAAATAAACAATGATTTTACATTTGAGATTTTGTCTCCAGTTTTTATCAGTCTTTACAACAATAATGCTACAGTCATATATATTATTTAATGATAATTAAAAGTGATAACAATAATTAAGAATGTCATATAAAATTAATGAGAGATGTGGATATGCTCTTATTTGGCAACTAAACTCTCAATGCATAGATTTATTTTTGACAGTACTGTTACAGTTTTTGGGTACACTGATGTACTAGTGAGCCAGTCAAAAAGAGCTGACTCATTTTATAGTTCACCAATAGAAGGGTTAACCAATCAGAAGGCTCAGAATAGTCAATGCGACGTGTATAAAAACGGCCATGTTTTTTTCCGAATATTCACTGCCAACCTCTGATATTGAAGACTGAAAAATTACGGAACAGCCGCTGGTAGTATTGGTGATATAGTCAGATCCAGTACAGTGTCTGACTCGTGAGTATTAATCTTTAACGCTGTTTCATTGAACAGATTATGTACTGTGCTGGATTCTATATTCATAGACTATGGTGAACATGGTCAACAAGTAGAGAGTAAAACTCAAGGGTCTATGTGGAAATGTATTCTGTATTTGTTTTTCATGTTGCATTTTACTGAAAACCCTGCTTCATATACAGTCCATCTGTAAATCATATAAACGTCAATAACTCAAATTTGCTTTGACAAAATTTTGTCAAATGTTACATGGTTAATTTAGACTTGAATTTAATTTAGAATTTAAACAATATTTGAGCTAAATTTTTAAGTAGTTTCACGATTGTTTTATTAAAGTTATTGCTATTATTATTAAAATGCAGTTTAAAATTATACAAAAACAGAAGATCATTATTTAATTCAATAATGTAATAAAATCATCAACAATTGATCAATACTAATAATATCTATAAAAATAACATAAACAGAAAAAATACATTAAAATAATTGTTGGACTTAATCAATTTCATAATATATATATATATATATATATATATATATATATATATATATATATATATAAGTATATGTTTGGTGTATATGGAATAAATTCCAATAACCAACAATTACTATTCTTAAAAGAGTGCTCAATACAGAGTAGAGCAGATATAATTATTTATTTAAAAATCATAACATAAATATGTTATAAAATCACTACAAAAATAGCCATTTTGTTTTAACACCTCCAGTGTCTTATCTTATTTTCCCCTTACAAAGGATCGTTTATTAATTTGAAACTTTTAAAACCATTTATTTTACACTCAACATCATCACTTGATTTAGACACCGGAGGCGTTGAAACAAAATGGCTAGTTTTGTAGTGATTTTATAAGATATTTACGTTATAATTTTAAATAAGTAATTATATATATATATATATATATATATATATATATATATATATATATATATATATACTAGCGTGACATACAATATTCAGGTGTTGAGTATGGACTGACTGTTATGGAATTTGAATTATAATATATTATAATTCAAATTCCATAACGGTCAGCCAAAACATTGAGAAAAGAGTTTTTTATTTCCCATTAGAAATTTAAAGACATCAGAAACACAGAGGAACAGATTGATTTGACTGTTCTGATTTGTTAAACATTTATACAGGCTCTTGCATGTACAACACATCTACTTATTACTCATTATGTTCATATACACAATTTATATATTACTGCGTTTTCTCATTAACTACAGATACACTTCTGGAACCCTGATGATCAGTGACTTTCACTTGATCACACTTTTGCTTGTGTTCTAACAGCTCAATGGTGAAATAACTTTGTTACTTTCAATACTTTAAAAATGGTTTCATCACTGTCCAACTTTCTTCAATCACGAGAAACAGTTCCACTCTCAAAGAGGCTCAATGATTTGGATGTCTGTTGTGTGTCAAGTTCATTCCATATCTCAAGTTGAATTCGGATATACTGGTTATAACAGAAAAATTCTCCAAATCATGTAACAGCATAATTATCCTTCCCAAAAAATGTTTAATATCTAAAAACGACTAAACTAATTGAGTTTTTCCAGATTGTTTTAGATAAGACGTGTAGCCATCTTCACACTATTTATCATAAGATTCACTGAAAAAAAAGCAGGTTAAAATTGTTTTGTGTCAGACCCACTGAGCAATAGTGAGAGGAAAAATATGATTCAGGCCTTCAGTAATGAAACCAACATTCATACTCTGGCTTCCATCTTCAAAGTCCATTAAAGAACCATCAAGAGAACAGTGAATAAGATTAAAAAAAAGAGGGAACAGTAGGGAGGAAAACTGGATCTGAAGGTCACAACATGAAAAGGGATCATCATTTCAGTGACCAATTAGAAAAGATCCAACTCAATTCATAAAATATTTGGCACATGAGAGTGGAGTTTCAGATATGACAGTCCAAAGAGCAGTGAAAAAAAGACTTGAAAATGAAATTGTATGTGAAACCTGTGAGGCAACTTGTTACTCCAGGACAGAAAGTTAGAAGTTTTGAGAGGGTGAAGATCACATTGACTAAGTTAGAAAATGATCCTGAAATAGTATATATATATATATAAATACATATATTTGAACCTTATTTCAATCCTTCATGAGCTTCTGATCCTAAGCTATGATTAATTAATGATAAACATGTCATTTTGATCGATTTCATCACAATACTTCTGTTAAACTTGGAGAATAATTATACATTGTTATTGCTCAAAGTAGAGGCCAGTAATGTTATAAATACCTCAGAGAATTCCAGTAAGATATCTTTAATCATTTTTAAGATACAATGGTTCACAGCTTAATCTAAAAATTGGACAATTTTGCTGTTCCACCCGGTATATGATCCTTTACTAAAGATACTGGAAAAAAGATCAGGCCATTCTACAACTTCCAAAAGTACCCAACTCCTTCTACCATTCTTTATGTTTACTAAAGCCATATTAGACGAGAAATGGACTGGGCTGAAGCTGCTCAGTTATCATGTTCCAGCTTTGACACAGTTCTACAAACTCTTTCCTACAAATGCAACATTGCAAGCCTGTCAGTACTATATTAATATTTCTATAGCAAATGTTGAGATGAGCTGCATTCTCAAGTTCCAGCAGTTCAAATCTGTGCAAAAATTGGTTGGAAGCACACACCGGAAAAAAAAGGTGGGGAAATGTAGTAAAAGTTCAATAGATTCACTAGGCAAAACAAATCCACACTTCTCATCTTGTCTTTATTTCCAATATACCCACTCACCATCAGAAGCGAAAAGCAAACTACTGGTGAATGAGCGTACCATGATTTTATGCACCTTACCCCAGCCAGCACTCAGCCAATGGTAAGTCCATCAGCACAAAGTGCTACCTGATTCATCATTTGTCTGAAGCTCACCGATTCACCATCTCCAAACTCCCTTGGAAATAGAAAGGTTTTATAAATTTCCATCTAGGTACTGACCAGGCTAAACATTGCTTAACTTCAGTGATCATAAGGGGACCAGCGATTCAACATGATGTAGCCATACACGTGACTCTGGCCTTTTTGGGTTGCCGAGGTAAGTCACCGCTACAAAATCTTTACAGCTAGTACATGCCATCCTATATGCAAATCTCTCATATTTTCACTGTGTTTTGAATGTAAAAATTGATTGGTAGATTTGTTTCTATGGCTTTATCAACCTTCTGCAGGTTATTTAAAGCCAGAAAATATTTTTTGATTGTAAGATTGTTTTTTTTAGATTATAATGGTTTAGTGATACTAGTCTTACTAATTAATCCATAGCTGGGGGAGAAAAGGTAGATTCATACCTAATCAGAATTTGATAATCAAACAAGAAATTATAATGTGAATATGTAATAGTGGGTGATCAGTTTTATATTACAATCAATATATAAACTGATCCCTCACTTTGTGGTTAAGGTATTTTTATATGTTTATATTGCAGAGAAGGAAAATAAATCTAAAAGACATGTCTATGTTGCTAATCAGTAGAAGATTGATTGTTTGATTTGTTTTATATGGCCTTATTCACCAGGTTATTTAAAGCCAGAAAATAATTTTAGATTGTGAGATTTTTTTTTTTTTTTTATAATAATGGTTTAGTGATACTAGACTTATTAATTAATTCTTAGATGGAGGAGAAAAGTAGGATTCACACCTTTCCCAAGGTTATTTGCACATGTGAATATGACAAACCTAAAAGAAAGTGACAGCTCTCTGACTTCCAATTCCGAGCCATTATCCATTACAGCTCCCACTCATCTAAGCATACAGCACTTGGTATTCTCAAGCGGTCACCCATCTAGGTACTGACCAGGCTAAACATTGCTTAACTTCGGTGATCATAAGGGGACCAGCGATTCAACATTATGTAGCCGTAAGCCTACAAATGTAAAAAAGGAGTTCCATTCAAACAGTATTTTCCCAAGAACAACCATTTTGAGAATCTCTGTTGGTGTTGCCTTGAATATTTTAATCTTGACAAAGGTCAGTCTTATAATCAACATTCCTTTATACCTTTTCTTTCACTCATAGAGAAAACCTTCATATTTACACTTCAACTTTAACATTCTACCTTGTGTGGTTCTCAAGGCTTAAAATGGATGAAATTTAGTGAAAAAGAAAAAATTGACTATCGTAGAAAATCATTCATTTCCTGCACAAAATCTTACAATGGGCGATGAAAAATCGCCCAATTACAGTCAGATATGCATAAAAGAAGAGACACTACCAAGTTCCAACAAAACCAGTAGACATTCACATACTTCTCTTTCGAAGCAAGAAGCAGTTTTATTATAAATGACATTCTGTTACTTGACTAAAATGTTACAGTCTTTGATTAAACTAACTGATGTAAGACTAATGTCTCTCTTGATGAAATTAATTGTGTAAAAGACTTTCTTGGAGACAATTGGAAACTCACAAGTTTGCACCTCAGAAATTAATTAATGAAACCTTTGAAAATTACATACCCAGATACCTGGATGGAAATTTAATCAAAAGAATGCAGCAAAAAAGACGAAAAAGAGAAAAAAACACTTTTATAAATGACCCATTTTACATGTATGTGCTTTGACATGAATCTGCTTTTATATATATATATATACATATATATATATATATATATGTGTGTGTGTGTATGTGTGCGTAACTTCTAATGTGAACAATTGTAAATATATATGTATTGTGTGAAAAGAGAGTATATATATTTTTATATATATGTTGCGTGTGTATATGAGTGCATCAAAATTATAAATGAAAATTTGTAAAATGTGTTTAATACATAAAGAGATTAATATATATATATATATATATATATATATATATATATATACACACACACTTATAGGACATTTTTAAATGAACTATTGTTAATGTATTTTTGTGTGTTAAGAGTCTACAGTATATATATATATATATATATATATATATATATATAGATGATTTTAATGAACCATTGCAAATGTAAATGTAAATGCTTTTTGTTTGTGAAGAGAGTATAGAATATCTGTCTATTTACCTGTCATATATATATATATATATATATATATATATATATATATATATATATATATATATATATATATATATATATATAATATAATATAATTATAAATATATATATATATATATATATATATATATATATATATATATATGCATTAACCATGACATATGATGTCAAATTACTTTCAGTTTTCAAAAGATTAGCAGGATGTAGACAAAGGAATTCTACTATACGTGTGAACTTTGTACATTTTGTCCATAACTTTGATCACATTACTCAACATCTTATTCAAAAATTGGTAAAAATACAATAAATAATTAATCATACTGACACTGTTGATTCTTTTTAATCAATCCTGTCTGTATATATATATATATATATGATAAAAATATAGTTTTAAGGTATGCTATATATTTATGGAAAGTGTTCAATATCAGGGAAGGAGGGTTTGTAAGTATAAGCGTGGTATTTTAGTTGAAACAGACTATCACCACACACAGTTGAACTCAGTGTCTTATACATATATATATATATATATATATATGCATTATATATATATATATATATATATTCCAGCTATGGGTAAAATAGCAGGACAGACTGGGTTCTATAGCCTTGTATGGCAACTGGTCTAGGAGAAGGACAACTCTGAATTCAAAACCTGCGGAGGGTCGTTTGGGAACCTTGTGGCATTCAGTGCACCAGGTCTCTGTATTCGTCCCTTCAAAAAGTGTGGATGGTTCTGCACGAGGCCTTCACCACTATAATCAAATCTCATGTGCCGGTGTCGGGCTGTTGGTTTCCTGGAAACTGATCTGCTTGACCCTCAAATGTCGAATCTCGACAGGAGAGTCGATTATTATATATATATATATAATACCTCAAATGTTATTTTTAGTGGATATAGAACACTCCATTTTTTAAACAGTGTTTTTTTAGGGTTTAACATCCTTGCATTCAAGAAAACTTAATAAAGAGTCTGCCCACTATCAGGATTCTAACCTACATCCCTTTTTTTAGGAGGAACGGCTGTATGAACTGTAGTGCTTTAGACTACTCAGTTATAGAGAGCCACATAACCAAAACGTCTTCAATTTGCCTGAAAGCAACACCTCCTTCATTGTCAATTGTCACCCTCTGTTCTTTTATTGTTGTCTCTCCTCAATAACGTTTTTTTAGTTTCTTTCACTCTCAGTAACCCCCTTGAGTTGCAGTGGCTTTATCAACTTGCATCAGATAAAATGATTAAAAAACAAAAAAAATGCCTGAAAGAAAAAGGAATGACAAAAATGCTTTGTTTTTAGGGAGACTTTTCCACCGCTAACTCATACACAAAATTATGTATACACATTTACATGTATTTTACACAGAGAAATTATAATATGTATGCAGCAACAAGCAGAGTGAAAAGGAGATGAAAAAGAGACTCTGACATATAATAATACTCAGTGGGAACTAGAGCTGCTGGAGATTCTTCTATGTTTTTGGAGAAGCCATATTTAAGATTCCAGGTTCAAGCAAGCTTGATTTATCTGCTGTGTCACTAGCAAGGACATATTTCTCACTCTGAGCCTCTATCCAATCAGTCAGTTATATGCCATGCATGATACACAGTTAGGCAATCATGTATCTTTCAATACATGACTGAGGAGACAGATTTTTTTCCAGAGTAGGTTGCCATTTGTTTCTGCAGTAGACAAGTTGCCATCCCGGTCTGTTCTGCTATTTACCAATAGCTGTGGGGAGAAGAAGATTCATACCTCCCCCAGGGGGATTAGCACATAAGTGAATGTAATGGATTCACCTGGAATTCGAACTCAGCTCTCCGATTCCTCAATCCAAGCCGCTATCCATTACTCCACCATGCCTCTGAATACACTTTAGAAAAGAAAATATATGAATTAGTAAAATAACTAGATCTTCTTATTTACCCAGACTTGGAACCTGGTTTGATTTTAGTGTCATTGTTTTGGACTGATTTTGGACTGATTGCTACCCTAAATGAAAGAGACAAATATTCATTGCCAAGTACCTTAGGTAGAATTTGAACCCGAGCTAATGATTCCATTTTCTGCTAACTGTTAAGCCACCCACACCTCCATTTTCTGCTGACACACACTGCAGGCAAACTGACTACCAGAGTTCCTATTAAAGTAAATCTACTGTTTGCAGTGGGGTGTAGAAGAAGTGGTCAGTATTGTGATTTAATACATTCACATGGTGTAATCATTAATTACTCTCTCTGACCACATGTCTACTAAATCACAATGGATAAAACCGCAGAGATTAATCGTTGCAAATAAGAACGTAGGCAATCAGTGACCATAATTTGGTCTGCATTTGCTTCTTGTTTTTATTTTACTGTCTTCGGTTAAGTTTTGTTTTCTGCTAGAAATACACTGACATCTGGATGCACCAGAGAAATATTAAAACTCTTGATTAGCTAAAGCCTTTAACCTGACAAATGAGGTTTGCGGCAGAAGCCTGGCGCTACCTACAATGATGACAAGAACAACTAAAATAAAACTAATGGCAGCAATTATAAAAGTAATAATAGAAGGGGGTGCTGAAAAGGTAACAATATCTGAGAGTGCATGTAAGTTAGTTATTCAAAGACGTTCTCCTCCAATTCTCATGTTTCGTCCTTTGACAGATTTGGAAATTGGAGTCAGATTGAGAAGCTTTCAGCATTCCCCAATTTTTATGCATATGGTAAATTAAGATTCATATTCTGCTATGCCATAGGACGTGGGTGATCATGGCTCTCCACAAGTTCTTGCCCGTTGTCGCTCTTTGCAAAATTAATTTGGTTTTATATCTCTCCTAATCCCTGTTTGGCCAACCATATATACAAGCTTGTTAGGCAAGTAATTCACTGCTTTCCTTTGTCCCTCTTGCCTTCAATATGTCCTGTGAGTGTTAAAATTTCTAAGCCCTGTTTCTTCAGTATGTGTCCCAGAAACTTCAACCATCTTTTCCTGATTCTAAGTGCCATTTTTGTTTCCATTTACCCTAACGTTTTGTCATTGTTCACATGTTCAGTCCATATTATTCTCAGCATCCTTCTGTAGAGCCACATTTCTGTTGCCGCAAGGATTTTTTTTCATTTGTGAGGAGACTGTCCAATGTTGAAATTACATAACAGTCCAGCACTTTTTTTCTTTATTTCTGACTTACTTTTCCTGTTTCTTAATACTCTGCTTAGCATTTGGAAGACATCTTTCACTATTCCAATATGCTTTTGCCTTTCAGTGTCACATTTTTCATCCTCTGTTAAAACACTTCCTTAAATATTTAAATTTTTATACTTGACTGATTTTGATATCTCCAATTTGTAGGTCATAAATTGGAAACATCAAAATCAAGCAAGTACAAAAATTTAAGCAGTAAATAAATTTTTCAATACAACCATAACATTTATAGTTATAAGTATATTTATATATATATATATATATATATATATATATATATATATATGATTTTTTTATAGATACAAATATTTAAGTAAAATGCACTGTTTATAATAAACAGTATTAACATCATTTACTGGCCTGAATGTCCGAGAAATTTTCATAGAAAATATGTGTCAGCTGACAGGAATTGAACCTGTATCCTATACAGAAACATCATAGAGCCTGACGTGCTTTACCAGTTTAGCCACAGAAGAGCGTTTTGGTTAGCAAGGTCAATTTTACTGTTTTTAAACTACAATTCTTCATGATTTTCTCCCTTGCATTCATATCTGCTTGATGCATATCCAAATGTAAACAAATGATGTCACACATTATGTCTTAAAATGATTGTCGGACTTTGTCCATTTCAGAATATATATATATATATATATATATATATATAAGT